TTTTTTTGGTCAAAGAGGACTAGTATTGGGTTGGATCTAAAGGGAGCAGTCAGTGAAGTTGGACAACCTTGCAGTGCCCTTTTAGGGACCCAGTACTGGCTCCCATCATCCCATCTGGTCTTCCCTCAGTCTGGGCCCGTTGCTCCCATCTTGGGCCTTATGCCATACCTGGCCCTGCCAGGCTCCTATTTCACAGTCCTTTCTGTGCCAGAGGGACAAGCCTTTGTCGTCTGACCTGGGAGAGGGACAATCAGCTGGACTTTATGAAGGAATTCTCCCTTGAGAGGGGAGGGGAGGTGAGGGGAAGGGGGTTTCCTGGCCAGTTAGTGAGGGTGGCGATTTTAGGCAGCAGGAACTTCTTGGAGGTCTAGGGTACATCTGTGCTACCCAGAGCATCCTCTGGATTGTACGGGGCCCTTCCTCCTAGTTACCTGTTCTGCCTCCCAGACTTTGCAGGTCACTCCTGTTCCTGCTTTGATGCCCATTCCCCGACCCACACCATAGAGTGTCTTAGCTTGCCACCAGGGGTGAGGTTTTTAATTTGACTGGTTTTCATCAGTGGGCTCAATGGCCTATGGCACCCCCGCCCTGTCCCCACCTTACCTGGTGACAGCTAGTAGAATTGTAAGTATAGGGCCTGGTTGAAAGTAAATCAGCCTAGGGAATCCCACTCAGGGCTAGCACAGACCCTGGGCGGCTTAGAGATCTACCTTCTCTTGCCCTTGTGCCGTGTGGCCAGGATTGCCTTGGTATGTTTCCTAGAAAGCTCTCCATGAAAATCACAAGTCAGAGCTATGTCCTGTATTTCTGTCCTCTTCATTCATATGCCCGATACCTTAGTGGATGCTCAATACATGTTTGTGATTATTGATGACAAATACTGGAGATAGGGCAAGGAAGGAACATGGAACAGTAGGGAGACTCCTAGGCTGGGATTAGGAGGCCTAGGTTTCTGTTTGCATTTAGCTCATTTACCTCCCTTCTGGGACCCTCAGTTTTCCCATTCATAGGGGTTAGAGTAAGTCGCCGAGACCCCGACGACATTGCTATGACTCAGGCTTAAGGGATGGTCCTAAGGGCAGCATGGTGGAGGTGTTGGGTTTAGTCTGCCATAGTCACCACTATTCCCCACTGTCCCACCCTGGCCCACCTTATGCAAGTTGCCTACCTAGCACTTGTAGGCATTTGACTATAGGACCCTTCTCATTTAGACAGTGCCTTAGATTTATTATAAGAATCCACTGGCTTGTATGTAGATCTGAAACCCAAATGGTGGCTGTTGATCATCATCATCACCACCGAAGTATACTAACTAGGCATCTGTATTCAGCATGTGGTATAAAATGCAGGGGGAGAGCACAGTGTAGATCTGCTCCCTGTCTCAAGCTGCACACAGGCTGACTGGGGAGACAAATATGTATACTGTAAAATGCTCATAAACAACCCAAGTGGCTTGTGCTAAGACCTTAAGTGCTGCTGAAACTCAGAGGGAGGAGAAAGCACTGAGGGCCGAGGCAATCAGGGAGGACTTCCTGGAGGTGGAGGGGGGGAGATTCTAGTCATTCCTCAAAGATGAGTTCCACTGAGTTGTTTGTTCAAAGTCACATGGGTATGAAACTGGGATTAGAGGCCAGTGTCATGTCTGCATGTGTACTGTTTTATTCTCTTTATAAGTTGTTCAGATCTACATGTCCTGGGCCCTGGGCCCAGGAAAGATGTATGTATTTCTGTTCAGTCCTCATATGAATCCAGTGAGGTGGGTGTTACTAAGATCTCCTTCTCAGATGAAGAAACTACAGCTGAGAGTAGTTAGGAATCTTTCCCAGGGCTTCTGAACTAATAAATGGCAGAGTTGGGCACTAGACCTGTCTTCAAAAAACGGTCTTTTTCCGCTGCACTGGGTGTCTCAAACCTTCAGTGTCAGCCTCCTTGGTGAGATGCACCCATACATGGAATTCACCCCTGTCACTCAGTGGAAGGGGGGGCTTGGCCAGCCCCAGCTCAGCCTTGCCTGCCCTTCCTGTGTAGCTGAGCACATAGGGCCTTTTTCATGGTCTCTGTTAGCAGCTCCGAGCACTACCCTCACCCCCTTCTCTCTGTCCTCACATGCTTCTGCCTCTGACCCTCAGGGCGAGTTCATGGAGCAACCTAGCTGTCTTTGAAGCTGGGAATGGGCACTGACCTTGGCCCCAAGTTCATTCTGTCCCTGGGGTGCTGCTGCCGGTGTTGGGGGCAACTTTTGTAAAGAGGTGAGCACTGGATGTGGAGCTGAGCTGGCCAGATTGTTGCCATTTACTCTGTTTGACCTTGGCCAGGTCATCTGGTCCCTGTCTATGCCTCAGTTTCCTTCTCTGTAATAAACAGGGAGTTGGAGACCTGTCTAGTTTGCTCCTTCATGTCTTTGCCACCTAAGAATTTTGACTGTGTTCCACAACCTTCTTTAAGCCTTTTCTCCCCCAGTGATCCAATTTCCCTTCTCTTGTTTCCTCACCCCACCCCCTCTTTTTCCTTCTGGCTCTGGCGGATAAGCTCTGCACCAGGCTGATCATCAGGTCTGCTGGCTAAAGCCGTATAAAACCGTAGCCTTCCCTCCATGTTGACAGGTGGGAAGGGAACTCTTAGAGGCCACAGACCAACCAGACTGAGCTCTGACTGGTCAGACCGGCTGCAGTTGCCTCTGTGTCCCCACTCCCCAGCAAGCAAGAGGGACCCCGCAGAGGTACCGGGTGAGGTGAACTGGGAGCTAGGGGACCTGTCCTGGTGGTTGTGGACAAGGCACCAGCCCAGAGCTGTGCTCCGCCTCCTCCCCTCTGCTCCGCCTGTTAAGTGAGTCACAGGCAGCACATACCTGCGCCCTCACACCCGCCTGGCCACTGTTTCAGGCACTTGCCCTGTGTCCGGTGAGGTCACACGTGGGGATCCACCCTCTGATGGGCACATCGGCTGTTCCGAAGGCCGAGCTGCATGTGGCCTGGTCTCTGGGCCCCTTGGGAGGAAGTGAGTGGCCTGGGCCCTTCCCTGCAGGCTTCCTGCAGCCTGGGTCCTACGGGAAGGTGGATTCAGGGATGGGTCCCTGGCTGGGGGGTGGGGGGGGGCAGGCGCTTCATGGCCCTGTGTCTTCCCCAGGCACAGGCCCCCTTGTGAGCAGCAGACCGGCCTGGTGGCCGGCAGCAGGACCCCCTCGCCTGCATGCTGAAGAAGATGGGTGAGGCCGTGGCCAGAGTTGCAAGGAAGGTCAACGAGACCGTGGAGAGCGGCTCTGATACCCTGGGTGAGTGAGGGCACCCTGTAGGCGGTGTGCGAAATCAATTTAGGTGTGAAATCGAAAGACAAGAGCAAAGAGACCGTGTCCGTGTGCGCCCTCGTCACGAGGAGAAGCGTGCCGGGGAATCTCACTGCGGTCATTGTTCAGTTTGTGTATACCAGGCCGCAGTGCGAGACTTATCATGGCCGCGGACAAAGAGGTTTGAAAAACACTACGTGAGGGCTCCCGCTTGCTGGGAGCCGATCTGCCTGCCCTTGCACTGCCGCTGACTCTGAGTGTGTTATGTGCCCTTGACCCAGGTGACAGTAGCTGGCACTGCCGAGTAGCCCCGTGTACCAGGCCCTGTGCAGGTGCCTCACGAGTGGTGCCGTATTGACTCTGCACAGTGGCCTTGTGATAGAGCGGGCACTCGCCAAGCATGACCAGCCTTGGTCTTCAGATGAGGACGTGAGGGTCGAAGGCAAAGTGGGCTTTTCCCAGGTCCCTCAGCCTGCAGGCCCCTTTTCACGCCACCGTTTCACCTCAGTTGTGTCTTACGTATTTTTTGCTTTGACTTGGTCGTGGCATTTTAGGCCAGACAGTTATGCCAAGACTTCAAGCATCTAAGCAAACCATCCTATGTGATTGAATTCAGATATTTATTGCCTGTTCGCGTGTACAAGGATTGTGTGCATGTGCATGTGTGTGTATGCGTGTGTGTCTCCCGCTGGCATGTGTGTGCCCCCTTAGAGCCACTGACATGTGAGAACCCAGAGGAGGGGAGCACACTCCTGCCTTGGGGATGACTGCATACACAGAGTGGGATTTGAGTTGGGTCTTTGGCACCCAGAGATGAATTCACAGGTAGGTCGGGATATCTGTGCCCATGCATGTCTGTGTCTCTCCAAGGAGCGTTTCCATGGAGGTTATTGGCCGACCAACAGCCCAGGGACTGGGAAGATAGAGTATTTCTGTGCGCAGCCTTTGGTCCG